TTCTTCTTCTTCTTCTTCTTCTTCTTCTTCTTCTTCTTCTTCTTCTTCTTCTTCTTCTTCTTCTTCTTCTTCTTCTTCTTCTTCTTCTTCTTCTTCTTCTTCTTCTTCTTCTTCTTCTTCTTCTTCTTCTTCTTCTTCTTCTTCTTCTTCTTCTTCTTCTCCTTCTCCTTCTCCTCCTCCTCCTCCTCCTCCTCCTCCTTTCCACAAAGCCCTTTCCCTTCTAGCACTGATGATGTTACCTAATTGGGTCATGAAACGTCTGCAAGAAAACCACCAAGCTCAGAGGGCATCAAGGACCCCACAGTCCTTTCTTCCTCCTCCTCCTCCTCCCCCCCTTCCTCTTCCTCCTCCTCTTCTTCTTCTCCTCCTCCTCCTCCTCCTCCTTCTTCTTTTTCTTTCCTCCTCCTCCTCCTCCTCCTCCCACTTCCTAGTTGGGTCAAGAAACGTCTGCAAGAAAACCACCAAGTTCAGAGAGCATCAAGGACCCCACAATTCAATCCCGAGCCACAAAGATTTATGTATCAATTCAAATTCCGTGGGGTCCTTGGTGCTCTCTGAGCTTCATTCTTGGCTAGCAAATGCTCCATGATCCATTTGCACTGATGATGTTCCCTAGTTGGGTCATGAAACATCTGCAAGAACCAACCAAACTCAGAGAGCACCAAGGACCCCACAATCCTCCTCCTCTCCTTATTCCCTTCTAACACTGATGATGTTCCCTAGTTGGGTCATGAAACGTCTGCAAGAAAACATCCAATCCCAGAGAGTACCAAAGACTCCACAGTTCTTCTCCTTCTCTTCCTCCTCCTCCTCCTCCTCCTCCTCCTCCTCCTCCTCCTCCTCCTTCTTCTCCCTTATTCTTTCTCTTTCTTTCTCTCCCCTTCGTCCTCCCCCTCTCCTTAAACTTATTCCCTTCTAGCACTGATAATTTTACTTGGTTGGGTCATGAAACGTCTGCAAGAAAACCACCAAGCTCAGAGAGCACCAAGGACCCCACAGTTCAAATTCTCCTCAGTCAACTATTAATGTTTTCCATATTCCTGAGTGTCTGGATTATTCTGAGTCTTGATCAACCCCATTTGCAAAAAATGCGTGGCATTTTAAATGCTTTTGGCTTGCTTGGTTATGTTTCTTATTTTTATTTCCAAGAACCAGGTTAGTCTGTAATAGTGGAAAGAGTCTAGTGGTGTCTTTTTTGACCAACAACTGATTTTATCCTTGATTCGTCTCTAAGATTCCCGTTTGCAAAAAAAAAAAATAATCAGCAGGAATTTGACATGTTCACCTTTATGCTTTTTCATAAAATGTATTAGCTTGAATAAAGTATGAATGGCCTCTAAAATAGTAAGAACTTACCTGATGAAGTCATTAAATCTTCTAACAAGTAAATTAAGGAGAAAAACAGTACTTTCCAAGCAACATTTTTTTTAAAAAAACGTGTTTTCGAACATGGTGGGGAAAATAA